TCTCTACTTTGTGAGACAGGGAGAGAAGGAAAAAGAAACTTTGGGGGTTTTAAAATCTTATTTTACTCCTAACAGGTTAGATGGAAGGAGAAAGCATTTTTTTACAAAAAATTAGTGAACTATATTTCTGTAACCACTGCAAAGTATGTGTTTCCACATGCAGCCTTTTCATGCTTACAGAGAACATTAAAAATAACATAGAAAGGATTGAAAATCAAATCAACATGTTAAAAGCATGATATGCTGTCTCTGTAACAAACCACATTTACAGTAATTGGAAAATTTCTCCATGTGCTGGCCAGCAATGATGTTTTTTAAGTGTTTTCATTTCCAATGAGGAAATGTTATTATTTCCACTTCAGGAACCTTGCTGAAGAGATGCTAGCAATATCCCTTTTGGGGTTCAGGATTTTTCATCAACAGGCTGAAACTGCACTACTAAAATACTAGTACATATTTATCCTGCTTCAGCTCTCTTTTAACCTTTTCCCTTCTTAGGAAGCATCCAGATGCATCACTTCACTTTACAAAAGCAAACTGAGCATAGCCTCAGTTTTCTGCTTTAAGGAAATGATATTTCCATAAAGTAAACCAGCACCCACTACAGAGATGGGCTGTGGTAAACTATTTTTCCATATTTTTTTGCCAAGGCCAAGGTCATTTTGGTGTTGGCTAAAACTGAAGTAGGTTCAATATTACTTGCAAACTCTTCTGAGACAAAGAGCCTGACAGACCTTTTCCATTAGTTGAATTCTTATTCAGCCTCATACCAAATCTTTCTATAGCTACTTGTGTTTTTTTAATTTGGTTCTCTGTAATGCTTATCCAAGACAGACCAGTGCTAATGGACTCGGAGCATTCTGTGCCCAGATACAGATGCGGTTTCAGCCTGAAGTTGGTGAAGGAGAAAAGGGTTATCATAATCAGTTAGCTTAAATAAGCTAACATTAAAGTTGTTTTCTCTACAAATTTGTTTTTGAGATATCTGTTGGTCAGCTGTTCCAATTCTAAATTAAATATGCCTTTTTGAGAAATTAAAAATTTCAGTGAAACCCCAGACATTCTTCTGATCCTGGAATACTCAGTATGGTTTGTGCTTCAGCATACTGATTCTGAATTTCTGCTGTATTGCAAAGTTATACTGAATGAATACTAAATTCGTCATAAAAGCTTCATTTCCCAAACCTTTTTTTCACTTTACATAATTTCTGGTATGTGCTTATGGCAATGTTCCTACAAAAATTCCTGGCATTACTCCTTCATGGACTATTTCACGCCTCCCCCCGCCCCCCCTTTAATGCCCTTTGAGCATTTAGCACTGTGCCCTACAACTAGAAATGACATAGACATATTTTTTAGTCTCATTTTAAAACAAGGTTTCTTTATGTAAAGGCATAGTACAGTTCATAGCAGGAAAAGAGAAGCCAGTAGTCAGAAAACATTTATACTCTCAAGCCTGTGGGGCCTTTAGGACCATATAACATATTTCTGTTCTCTGAATAAATGGCCATTTACATCTGAAATGTTCTGATGTTGCAAAGTTTACCATGATCTACAACAGAAATAGCAACTACATGTGAGCCAAAAACCCAAGATGAAGCATAGCTTGAGGAAGAATATGTGTACAACTGAAATCACCTGAAATCCATGCTGAGCTGTGCATTTGCCATCAGTTCATAGGCAATTTCTGGGCTGGAGGCTGATTTTGGTGCTGCATAAGCAGGTTATGCAGAGTAAATTCTACAGTTTTTTATGTTACTTTAAACTTTGTTTTAAATGTTGTTTATTTTAGCCACTGTTCAAAAACAGTGGCTTTACCACAACAGAGTATATAATGCCAAGTATTTTTAAGAGAACAGTACCAGTATGCTGTTTTACTTTTTGCTTCCTGTACTTTTCTCTCATTTATACAAAAGGAACGTTTAAATCCTTGAGCAGGCATGGAGGATAAGATACTGAAATCAACCAGTCTCTTGGCAATGCCAGGATTTGAATAAGGGCCTTCATGGGAGTGTGCCACTTGGATGCATCCCAAAAGCTCCCCAGATATCTGATGTCATGCAGCAATCCCTATGGACTCCCAGCAGAAAATGCAACATTCAGCAGAAAAGCAGCTCACTCACTTCCCTGATTTTCTGCACCCAGGTTTCTGGTATTCCTGATAAATTCCCTTCTGTCTTCCTTCAGTTTTATTGCCCTCTGAATGTCCAGCTATTGCCAGAAATTACTTTACAAAGTTCTACACTGACTGATTTTTATGTTGTTCCTTCAGCCTTTGCTGTGGTGTGCCTGCTGCTGTTAACTGTGGTGAAGATTTCAGACCCTTCACTCAAGTCTTGATAGAGAAAGGTAATTGTTACTTTCAGTGCATGTCTTTCAGAAAAAAAATAACCTGATTTTCATTTGCATGCACATGGTTTCATAGACAGTTTAAGGGTATTCATATTAGATTTTCTCATTGCAGTCTTGAGACTTTTGTCTTTTAGGTGTGATTTTGGAATTAATAGTGGCTACTCATTCACAGTCTTGTTCTGTCAGTGTAAGCCTTCATCTTTTCCACCATTTGATGCTTTTCAGTTAAAACTTAGAATTCTCTTGCTTTGTAATCCTGACCCGTAATAGGTATTGCCTTGGATCAGGCTGTTGTGTATCTTTCGTCAAGTTCCATTTTTTACCAACCCTTTGCCTCCTGAGTCACTAAGACTGCAGATCCTGAATTGCAGACTTCCTTAAAAAAATAGACATTCCAAGTCTGCTTTCCATTGGGGTGAGACTGTTTGGATATAAAATTTAAATTAAACCTGGATAATGTGTGCCCGATTGAAAACAGCAGTGGCAGGCAGGCAGCTGCAGCAGGAAACAGCATATACCTCTTATTCTCTAAATGTACAAAGAGACAACATATTTAGTAAGGCTAGGGGTTTTTTTACTCTCTGTGGCACTGCTGAAAGCATAACCATGCTGACAAAGCTATAGCTGGGTGATTTACAGTGCAGTACGTCCATGAGGAGACATCAAAAGGGGAGTCCACTAGAACCCAAGTACCAGCCAAATCAGCTGACTGTCAGTAATACCACCTGGGTGGAAATGGATGAAGAAAATGTACTATGATTGGCAAAGAACAGGGATCCAAACAAAACATTGGGTGAAACAAGAGCACCCTGGGAATAGAATTGTTTCAAGGAGCCCCTGTGGGCTAACAGAGACCAAGAACAAATACCAAACAGCCTTAGCTGAATAAGCTTTAAACATTTTATAGAAAGCTGAAACACAGTACCTTAGCCTAATCCAACCTATTTATATGAGTGTTTTGTGAACTTAATTACAGATTTAAAATGTTTCCAAATGAGTGGAGTGCTTCTGTTACAATAGCTTGTCTAGCTGGGCTTCTCAACAGAAAGACATCTGGAAAGAGAAGATGCCTAGACACTGCAAATATTTCTCATCCTGAGGTGTTTGTGATCTCAAAGGACTCCAGAACTTGCAGAGACTACTTATAAATCAATTCAGTAAGTGAAGGCTTCAGTTACTGCTCTTGTTGTCTCTGGTTAGTTTTGTGTTGGCTGTCTGACTGCTTGGTTTATTTTTTGGTTTCGTCTCTTGGTGTTAGTCTTATGACCATCTGAGCTTATGTGAAGTGCTTCAGTAGGCTCTGCAGTCAATACCCAGGCACACTGATATCCCAGGTTAGCATGGAGTATTAAAGGCCACATGGAAGTGACAGCTTGCACTCAGTAACTGTGTCTTACATTAAAGGGCTTAGCCTTCCAGTTAAGTCCACCACTGAGCTCCCAGGAACCTACCAGACACATGGGAATAGGTGCCTTCCCTCAAGGAACAGTCAGCAAAGAAGGGAGCAGCTTGTGGAGCTCAGTACAGTTGAAATTGAGATGAGCAGCTGCTCTCTGTGGCAGAGACAGGACAGCTTGTCATTACAGAAAGAAGCTGATGTGAGGGGAAGGGGCTCTAGACTGAGTTTGAATTATAGGCGTCTAAAATGATGGCAGCATTAGAAATGGTAGACCCAAAGGCCCCTGAGTCCTGTAAGCCTTTAATCTACAATGCCCAGAAGAATAGTGAAAAAAAGCAGAGATACATCTCAAGTGTCTGGCTTATTTTGCCAACTAAATTAACTGTAAGCGCTGTAGTTATTTACCACATGCAGAAAGTCAAGATGATAGTTCAAGTACTTACATTATAGGGCAGCATAAATATTGTTGCATGCAAATCTCCCACAAACAACAGTAGGAGTTTTAACTCTGGATGACTGCAGGATCTGGTATAATCTTTGCAAGGTGGTGATTTTTTCCATGAAAGAGGAAAAATGATACGAAAGGAGTTGGTAACTTTACAGACCCTTTCTTTTTGTGATCTCAGCTTGATTTAACAACTCAAAAATGGTAAAGAGAGATTTCTAAAAGTTACGTGCATGGTTCAAGTGTGCTACAATTCTGCTACTAGATTCACCCAAAATATTGTTTCATGAAAAAGAAACGCTTGTGAAGTGAGCCCCATAGGATGCACTGTACTGGGGTTTTCCTTGAACATATCAGATATCTTGTTTAAGAGCAAATTCTGTGTTTCATTTTCCCATCTTACCCTATCAAGGTTTATTGTTTTACACTTTATACTTGATCCTGCGTCACTTTCCCGTCCAAGTTTTTTATCAATGACAAACTACGTGGCCTGAGCAACTTGGAGCAGTCCCTCTGTCCCAAGCCGTGCGTTTGAGCCTCAGTTCACACCAGGCTCTTAGCGAAGCAGTCGTTTCTAACGGGAACAAGAGCGGAGCCGAGCAGCTCAGGTTTAAAGGCTTTTCTTTAAAGAGAGCTCCCTGAGAGGCGAGAGGGGTACGCGTCTCCCTCCCTGCCGTGTGACAGCCCCGCGGGGGCGGTGCTCGCGGCCCTGCGGCCGGTGCCCGCGGCGGGGGCGGCGCGGCCCGGCCCGGCCCTGCCTGCCGGGGCTGCCGCTCTTAAGGGCGGCGCGGCGGGNNNCGGCCCCAGAGCGCCGCCAGCTCTCCGGCCGCGCTGCCGTGCTCGGCCCGGGCGGCCCGCAGCGCAGCCGAGGCCGGCAGCGGGCAGCCCCATGCGGCACGGGCGGCCCTAGGCTGCGCGTCGGCCGCGGCACGATGCGGCTCCCTCTGCGCCTGGCGTGGCTGCTCGGGCTCTGCAGCCTCTGCCGCGGGTACTTCGAGGGGCCGCTGTACCCCGAGATGTCCAACGGGAGCCTGCACCACTACTTCGTCCCCGATGGGGACTACGAGGAGAACGACGACCCCGAGCGGTGCCAGCTGCTGTTCCGGGTGAGCGAGCAGCGGCGGTGCGGCGCGGCGGCGGCGGGCGGCGGGCTCAGCCTGCGCGAAGAGCTGACGGTGCTGGGGCGGCAGGTGGAGGACGCGGGCCGGGTGCTGGAGGGCATCGGCAGGAGCATCTCCTACGACCTGGACGGGGAGGAGAGCTACGGTGCCTACCTGCGCCGCGAGTCCGCCCAGATCAGCGACGCCTACTCCAGCTCGGACCGCTCGCTGAGCGAGCTGGAGGGCAAATTCCGGCAGGGCCAGGAGCAGGGCGGCCGGGAGGAGTCCCGCCTGGGCGACAGCTTCCTGGGGCTGCTGCTGCACGCCCGCGCCCTGCTCCGAGAGACCCGCCACGTCTCCAGCGGGCTGCGCGACAAGTACGACCTGCTGGCGCTGACGGTGCGCAGCCACGGCGCCCGCCTCAGCCGCCTCAAGAACGACTATCTCCGCGCCTGAGCCGCCGCGGCCGGGCCCGACCCGCGGCGGCCTCGGCAGACACCCCCAGCCCCGCCGCCGGGCCCCCGCACGCACGGCCCTGGCGTCCGCCTGGAAGGAGCACCTCCTTGGACAAAGCCTGCAGTTAGGAAGCTCGGAAAAGGCATCCGAGATCGTCAAGTCCAGCCTTTGACTGAATACCACCACGCCCACTAAACCATGCTGAGAAGTGCCACATTTGCTCATTTTTTTTTGGACGCTTCCAGGGATAGTAACTCAACCAAAATACGTTCTTCTTCGTGGAAAAAAACCTTATTTATTTTACCTTTTAAACAAATAGCCCAATTCTATAAACCAGGAGGTTCGAGGTATGTTTAAGTTAATGTCCCGTATTAAAAAAATCTACCCTCTGTTACATACCATCTTTGATTGCAAAGTGAAGTAAGCTTTCTCCTGTCTGATTCCCTGTTGTTTGTTTTTGTATCACCTGCTCTGCTGTGGGTCACCCGCCCTAAGTGTAGCTGAAGTGAGGTGCTGGCCAGCTCCTTCCAGACTCCTGTGTAGCAAATGCTTCAATTGCTTTTGTTGTTAGTCCTTCAGGGTGAACCTCTGGCTCTCCTTTCTAATGATACGTATTATATGTTCCTTAAATGTTGTTCCACTACGTAAAGCTGTGATTTTCATTTTGTGTTTGGAAAGATGGGAACTATTCTGGCAGGATTTGTACTTCCAGCCTTGCTTATCTGTGACTCTAAGCTATCATAACCCTAAGAAGCAGCCAAAAAGGCTTATGTCAGATCCTGAGAATGCTGGTGGAGATTTTTATAGCAAAAAGAATTAGCCCTAGCCCTGATTAGAGTTTTGGATCCCAGATTTGAGAGCCAGGAGCGTGTTTCTAAAGCAGACGAAAAGGTTTTGTCTGTGCAAGCACATTTGACTTTTCTTGTCGGTGACTTTGTACTTTTGCTAGCTAAGTTATTAATATAACTTTGTGGTCCTGGACAATAGCAAAAGTGCCTGGTGGGAAAGAGGGTGGGGTTTTTAGACTCATTGCTGTTTAACTGACAATTTTGGGTAATGTGGCTATTAGGTTACAGATACTGCAGGCAGAATACCTGTTGGGATGAAATCAGTTTATAGGTTGTTGTAATAAATATTTGAAAACAATGTTAAAGTACATTTTTGTTATTACTTTCCGAGATGCTCTTGATTTTAAAACATTCTGTTGAAATGTGTCTTTTCAGCAAAACATTGAAAGTTTGTAGTTTCTGCCAAGTGAAATAACTTGCTTTTCAGTAAAAACAAATAAAAATTTACAGACTCTGAGGTAATCAAGTTTCATTAAAAGCAACAATACAAAAGGCCTTGCGGGGCAGACTTTTTTTGAGTTTTTAAGCCTTTTTAAGCACCCCTGGAAGAGAAGCTGATGTACTTCTGAGGTCTGTTCTTGTTAACCCTGCTCCCATTTAGTTGTACTTCAGTCTGCAAACCATTCAGTGGGTGAGTTACTCAGCAGTGCAGTGGGTCAACATAAATCAGCTTGGACTAGAGTGCTGAAGACACCAGGAAAGTCTCATGAAGGTAGGTGCTCACAGAACCAGAGGGCTCCTTTTGCTGAAGGCAGTGAAATGTAGCCTCCTGGCAAGATACTTTAGATGTCATTTTGCGTTTTTTTAGTCCTCAGTACCTTTAAAGCTTGGCTGGGAAAAAAAAAAAAAAAAAATGTAGCCTCCTGGCAAGATACTTTAGATGTCATTTTGCGTTTTTTAGTCCTCAGTACCTTGAAAGATTGTCTGAGAAAAAAAAAAAAAAAAAGGAAACGTTTTATTGGTTGACTGTGGTGGAACCACTCAGTGTTATTTTTCTGTTCTCAAGTTAGAAACTGTTTGACAAGTTCCAGCTCTTAAAAATTAATTTGTTTTTGATTCTTTCCTTGCCTCTAGAGATGGATGGCACACCAGAAGAGTGAGCTGAGTCACGGATTCTTGTGTGCTCACTGTCTTGGCAAAACATAATAGCGTTTCTGGGCTGGACCAAGCTCCAGAAGTGCCTGACTGGTGTCTCCCCCGAAGATGTCATGCAGTTCCATTAGTGCCTAGAGGCTTCTTAAAGGAAGTTTAAGTCTGTGTTTTACCCACTTTGAGTCATTTGTTGTAACATGAAGTAAATAAACATCAGTGTTTGTTATAGCATCAGACTATTTGTTATAACATCAGTAAATAAACAGAAATGGCATGACCGTGCTGTTTTTTATGTATATGAGAGCAGTATTCAAATCCTAATAGAAAAGCAGTAGTAGCATAAGAGACAGCTTCTTGAATATCCTTGAAGCAGCTTGACTATTCTATGTGCAGTAGCAAATGTTTGGTCAAGCTGAAACTATTGCAATGCATGCAGCATACCAAAAGAGTAAATGTTTGCAGAATGCTTACTTTTCCAAGCAGGAGATGTGTGGGTATTTATAGTATAACTCATTCCACTCAGTGCCCTGTAATTTGTCATCTAATGAAACAAGTCCACACTAATGTTTCATATCATATATGAACTCTTGACACTTTTTATGTTTCAGTAAAATAGAAACATTTTTCTATTTTAAATATGGCAGAATTCTGATTTTGTTTCAGTAGCGTTGATTTTGGAAGGTTTTAAATGGTCCTTTCTAAGAGAAAATGAAGATATCTGAGTCTGGTCTATGTATGAGTTCATGCATTTAATACAAATGTTCAATCTTATGCAGATTTGATGAAGCCAATACAAAAATCTTTTAGGACATTTAAATCTACTAGAGTTTGTTTTACATAATTTTGGCTGACCTAAGCAAATGTATATGTTAAATATATAATTTTTGAGTCAGAGCTGATACATTAAATGGTTTTTGTAGAGCTGTCTGCAAGAACTGAGTGCTTAGTGATATTCAGCAGTTTAAAGTTTTAAATTCAATTTTTTTCTTTAAAAACTATTAAAACTATATTGCAATACTCTGTGCAATCTTATAAATGTCTTTCTTTTGCTTTTTATTTGATAAAACTTACTTGTTTGGGAGGTATGAAGATCCCCTGGTTCTGGATCTTCATACAGCCTATTTTAAATAGTAAAGGTCCTTTTATCATTGAAAATTTGGTAGTTACTTTTAAGCAGAGAGCTTTAAAAGGATGATTGTAGCAGTAGTCATCCCCATTATGTCCTTCTCTTATATTAAAATACTATATTGGTACTAGATTCTTTTTTCTTTTTCAGAATGCAGAAGGTCGAGCTAAAATTGAGCTGACAGTGGGGTTCTTTTGTAGTTTTCTGATGATTTTCAAAACATGGATTATTTCTGAATTTATTAAAGAGTTTATCATGCTGAAGAGCAAAAGACTATTTTCTGGGGGGGAAAAAAAAGGTGCTGCAGCTGGAAAAGTCATAGAGAACTCACTTAAGTTTTTCATCAAGGGGAACAGGCTGCCCAGAGAAGGTGTGGATGCTCCATCCTTGAAAGTTTTCAAAGCCAGGCTAGATGGAGCCCCGAGCAACCTGGTCTAGTGGAGGGTGTCTCTCCCCGTGGCAGGTGGATTGGAATGAGATGATTTTTAAGGTCCCTTCCAGCTCAAAGCGTTCTAGGATTGAAGTCAAAGCAAGGCACTAAGGGACTCCCCTGCACTTCTCCCCAGGTAGCTCACTTTTGAAGGCAGTGCTCTGGTGTGGACATTCTCACATCCACTGGTACACACAGAACGGAAGAAGCTCAGAGCATGCACAAAACCATTAATAAAAGCTCGAGAAAGAAAAGTGTACTTGTCTTGTGCTGAGTTAATGGGTAGGAATTCAGAGGAGAGTGTGCAAACTGGATTTCAAAACTGCAATTTTCAGTTTCACAGGTTGACTTACCCAGGACCATCATCACAAAGGGAAGTCGAGCGAAGTTTTCAAAACCTTGGTGAGCCTTTAAAAAACCTTATGTGTGCCAAGCTGGGGTGTATGAATTGTCTGAAGCTAAATTGTTGTTCCTCTAGGTTGTCATGTACTCAGATGCAGTTTAGCAAGACGTAAACCTCATAAGCAAAAAATATACCTGGCTAGGTCTCTAGAAACAACCTTGTGAGCTACAGAGCTCTGGTTATAATCTTGTCTAGGAAATGTGTATTTTGTGGGGAAATTCTGTTGGATGTGTCTATTACTGTTGGTGTGGCTGCTTGTTTAGATGGTCTTCATGTTTCTTTACCAGTTTCTTGCTCATGCTTCTTGAATGTCAATTTTGTGACTATTAAAGAAATTTTCAGCTAACACTGAAGTGTTGTGAGTGCATTTCACAGCAACTATTCCTAAAGTAAGCCTGTGGATTCAAAGTCTGTAATTTTTCTGTCTTTTAAAATGTATTTTTACTTGCAGTTCATTGGGGAAATTGTTTTTTTATTACCTAGGGTTTTCTTTTTTGGTGAGCCATTAGCAAAACATTGTTCAATTTGTGGGTCTGCATTTCATTCCTATAATATGTGAAACTGGCAAAAAAACCTGACTGTGCTATATGCTTCTTTTAAAAGCTGTTATTAGAACATATGTATAAAAAAAAGACTAAAAACTGCCTATTTTCTTTTCTTCATTGAGTTGTCATCCTGCCTACAAGATCAATTTATAACTGGAAAAGACAGAATTTAATGACTACGTCTGTAACAAGGAAAACATATGGTCTCCATAACCATTACATTTTTAATGATGTGGCTTGGACAGAGCCTTTCCTCCTTGAAAACTGCCTTACCTTGGGGAGGTACTGCTGGCAGCCTCCAGCATGCCATTAACATTCTTTCATAAGAAAAGACAATGCCAAGAGTATCGTGTTTTCTCAGATGAAAACCTTCCTTAGACTGTGTACACCCCTTGTAGGTGCTTAGGAACTGTTTAGTAGTCATTGTTCGTGTCTAAACTCTCTTGGAGGGTCAGGGAGGAAAGTCATTGGAGGAGGTTGGCTTAGGGAAGAGATTCATTACCCAGTGACGTGGATAATGTGAATATTGTGAGGAGCATGATGACCAAAAATATATATATACTTGCATCATATTTTCCATACATATTCCACTCTGCAAATTTTTCCCTGTGACAGGAGTTACCAACATAGAGTAGTTTCAGTGTTATAATAGAAATTTACTATTATTAATACTAATAGTTTGGTATTATATATTTGGTATAGAGTGTAAATGTTATAATTTACACTAAAAATTTGGACACACTCCAAACTGCAAGATGTTTTCTTTCTGTCTACTTGTTATCTCTTCTCAAAAATACCGTGACTATGATTTTTAGTTTAGTGTCAGGTTTTAATCCACAAAAATCAATTCAGTGGACTTTTAGTTTCTCAGCTGGATTTATCTAAGACCTTGTTATGGCTTTTTTGGGGTAATGATTAAGAATTATTTCCTTTACACTTTCTGTGTGGACAGCTTCTTGGTTAATGAAGAGCAGTTAATTTTTCTTAGTAACAGGCTTTGTCCTTTCTTTATTAATATGATTTTGTTTCTAATCTAATGTAATTCATCTGAGATTTGTATTGAAGTGTAATAATGCACTTTTTACTCAGGATTCAAACAGAGGTACAACAAAATGCAAGCTAATTCATCATTCATAACTGGATCTGCACATAAATCAGGATGCTATTTGATTTGTGACTTTAATATCTTACATACTCTCTACTTTTAGAAGAGTAACCCTAGAAAAAAAAGAGTGAATGAACAAGAGGCCATCTTCATCTGATCTACCAGATGTAGATGACATGTGGTATTAAAAGCCCAGGTTCTTTTGTTTCTTTCCACACACCACCACCACTCCTCCTCCCTCCTGGGAGCCTGAAGTGGTTTTCAGGCAGTGTCTCCACGGCAGTGCTGTGCAGCCATGAAGGAAGGTGGCTACAGGGGGCTCTCTGCCTTTATGGTGCTATTTGCTGTTGGCTTGTGAGGTAACAGCATCAGACAAGTGTTTTTTCTGCAGGCACTGGCACATCTGGGCACTCTGTGGTGATCAGGAGTGGGGCTGGGGCCAAGCCTCGTCCCCAGTGGGTGCAGCTGTGCAGCACAGGTGAATGCTATTGAAGGTGAGGAGCCATGGGCTGCCCGGGGTGCTGCCCAATCCCACAGGGAGCAGAGGGCACACAGGTGCACTGCATGTGAGATGAAGGGTATAAAAAGCTGGATTAAAGGACAATATGGACAGATGCCTGCAGCCTTCTGAAGAGGTATGGTGTTAGTCCGTTTGGGGGATGCTTAAAGCTTTCTGGTATGGTGTGGTGTTACTGTGTATGGGTGGTTGCTTAAAGCCTTCTGATACTGTGTGGTGGTACTGTGTGTATCCTGGCCGTCTGGACTGCAACATGTGCTGTGACACTGGAATACAAGGTGATGTAGTCTAGCCTTGCAACCAAAGGCACTAGACATGTCGTATTTAGGCAAGAGTGATACCAGGCATGATTTCACCCAGAAAACAAACTTTCTGACACAATTTGAAGCATTAGAAAGTAGGAATTTTTTTTATTCTCAGCATGCTGAACACACTCAGTATCTCCCTAATCAGGTGTGTCATGAAACTTTACAAGTTATTTATTCCACCATGATCGTACGTCTTAATTACAATATACTTCCTAGCTAACACACAAACACCACTTTTCCTGCAACTAATTTGCATGCATCTGCCTCTTACTGGGAGTCCTTTTGTGGTCCTACAGGGTTGTCTAAGGGTCTCTGGTGGTCATACTCACTGAGTGTCCCCAGTGTTGCAGATGACCTCACCTTGAACTTATCTCAGGGCATACACTGCTGCTTCCTGTTACATGGCTTTGCCACAAAAGCCAGCGTGTTCCTCATTATCTGCTTATCTACTGGTTGCAGCTATGTTTAGCATCCTTTGTGTCTACTTTTACTTTCTTGTATCTATTCTGCTAGTTAGTCTTTAAGCTCTATTTAGCAACTTCAAGGGGAACTGAAAATATCTATTGTCTGTCAAGCTGTCCAGTCCCCCCTTTTCTTGAGACTGTCTCTTTTAGGCAAGTCTCAATGCTTCATTTTCCAGCACAAAGTGTTACAATAGTTATAACATTGAATCATAATACAGGCAGGTACACACACTACAATGACTGCCATAAAAGTGTTTTGTAGCGGTCTCCAATTTGGTAACCATGAAGTAAGCCACTCCTACCAAGAAGAATTTTCCTCTTTGTACTGCACTTTCTGTCAAGGTGGTTCCTGACTGTTGGACTTCAAACCCATCATTGATGTAAATGCAACACTTCTGTCCTATAATAATACGTGTTCCTCCTTGGCTGGCAATCAGATAATCTGGCCGTGCAGTTCTCTAGAGCCACCATTCGTGTTTGTTGGAGCTCAAAGGATGTGCTGTTTAATACTTAAATAGTATCATTTGCCACGTCTAATAATCTATTTAGCTTGTTTATATAAACTCACAGGACAAGGTAGTGCACATGGGGCATAGCATGAACCATAATCTTCTGCTTTCTGAAATCAAAGGGGTGTATTGCAGATCATGCTGCAGTCCCTGGATGGAAAATATTCTATTGGCCCTAACTCTTTATTGTGCATTTTGCCAAAGTACCCTAATGGGAGAAATTAATCTTGCTTGGAAACAGGAACCAAACTCTCTTTTAAGAAGTAATTTATAGGCATTGTTTCTGCATAGACAATAGGTGCCACTCCCAGTACCAAACATCTGATTTCCTATTTTCCACTGCTGCACTACTGATGGAGTTAGGGCTTCTATACCTAATTATTTTGTGTCCTCACTGCCATTAGGCCAGGGGCACTCAGAGAGACTAAGTGTTGTGTCGTGCATGGTGCAGCTGAGAAAGAGAGGCCTATGTAAAGGTTTGATATATTTTCCAGTCCCATGTTTTGACATTTTGAAGAAAAATATTGATAGAATATCTGTATACAAAATCTAGGTAGTTATAACCACCTTGCTAAAGAAGAGCCTTTGCTTAGGTTAAACACTAAGCATGCAAATAATACTAAAATTATTTGGCAATCCCCTTAGATAAGATGAGAAATTTGTGTACAAAAGCAGTGTGTGGACACCTGGATAGAGGAATGTAATGAGAGTATGAAATACATTATGGAGAAACTTTGAAATTAAATACTTAGGGGTTTAATATGTATATCCAGACCTGTGGATTTTTCCTGCTTTCCCTATTTAGTAAGCTGGAGGAGCTTCCTGATGGCCTTAAACATCTAAAGTAAGTTCTAGTTCTCATGGTCTTTTCTTGAGCAGACAGCTACAGGAGTGCCTACTAGATTTAGTACACAGAGACAAGCATCCCTGTCCCCAAAGGAACTGGGTGGTTGGTTCTGGGAAGAGTGCTTTGTTCTAAAATTCCTTACATATTGAAAGATAAGTGGAATAATTTGATCCGACCATTTCTGTTGCTCAGGGGCCTCAATTTCTGTGGATGTGAGTACCATGCCTTGTGCTGGGCAGTTCAGCATTGTTCAGGGGTCAAGCAATGTGACTCATTACCATCAGGTAAACTGCTAAACTTGAACAGAGAACTATCCAGAAACGAGGTAGCAAAAGTTTATGGCATGTTGAATTTTTCATTTTTTAACCCTAAAGCATAACACAACTTTTCAGCCATACATAATAAAACTTAATCCAAAAAATCTCAGAAGGACACTGCAGCCAGTCTTGCAATATAAATACTTTTACAGTTCAAAAGAAATTGTGGTATGGTAGAAATACACACACACACATATATATGTGTGTATATATATATATATATGACATATGTATATTTGTAGAAAAGACAATCTATTCAATCTAGATATAAATACAGTTTTGGATAAAAGTGTTTAAGTCTGTATGCACAAAACTAGCTGTACTGCATTGCAGGTGAGGATTAGCAATTACTGGGTTCCAATGGGACTGCTATCCATAAACACAAGAACGAAAAAAGCCACAGTATTCTGCTTTGCTATACTCAATCAAATTAAATAGAACAAATGGAGACCCAAGGGTCCTGTGCAGCCTAGTTCTAAACTGCAGCAAAGGAAAAATATTGAAAAACCATCTGATAACTCCAGTAAGCCTTTGTGAGTTAAGATACTGAAGCCCAGGACATTTTTTTTGTGCACAAAGACAGCTGGCGAGACTTTTGTCCTGGTAGCATCAATATGTTGCCCTCTGAGCCTAAGAACAAAAAGAGAAGATTCTTAAATATGCACTATTTGATGTTGATAAAGTCATTAAAATACGTATGTAATGACTTATTGATTCAGGGAGCATCCCCTGAATT